TTTTTAATCATTTGTGTATTTAGATAACTGATATTCAGTTACCTGAATTCCTTGATGGTCTAATTTGGCTGTTGTGACTTCGGTTGTTTCTTCATTTCATCATGTACTTCATAATTCTGGTTGATAAAGTCATATTTATTGTCCTTATCAGTAGATAACCAGTTCGGTTTAGATTGTGAATGTATTTTTATAGAATTTCAGAGTTTCTATTGGCTTTTGCCCAATGTTCCATGGTTGTTCTCAAGCAAGGCCAATTTTTATGTTAATTTTTGGGCTAAGATTTCTTGTAACACCCATAAAATAAGATAAAAACTCAAAAACCCACTTGAAAGTGGATCATTGCATGCACAGCAGAATTTTTACTCCCCCAATCCCTCCATCTGTTCATCCCCCATCTCAGCTCTAACTAAGAAGCTTTCTTGTTTTCTCTCCTTTATATTTTTTTTTCTGGTCCATTGTTTTACTTAGATTCTTGTTCCCATTTTACAAGCTTAAGACTTTTCTCCTGTTCTTTTTAGGCTGGTACGTTGCAATGGTGAGATTGGCACCAAATGAATTAGGTACTCAACTACTATTAGGTTTGTAGTTTTTTCCTCATGTTTAGCCCTTATCTACTTTTCTTTCCCTCCCTCCATTCCTCCCATCCTCCTTCTTTCATTTCTTCTTCCCTTTCTTCTCCCTCCCTTCCGCCTTTCTCCTTCCCTCCCTCTCTCCCTCTCATTGTAGAAATATGGCTATGCAAGATCTTTGTTCTGTTGTGTTTGTCAATTAGGTGATTTTTCCAGGAGGATTTTTCACCAAGAGGTTGGAATGGAAATCTTTTCCTGAATTTTCAAGTTTTGTTTCATACCTTGATATGAACATACTTCATATCTTATCTGCTTGCTGTTTTTCAATGAGAAATATACTACTTTTTTAAAAACTTCATATTTCAATTTGAATCTCTAATAATTTCAAAATATAAATTATAGCTTATCTTTAATCTTTCTTCTTCTTCTTTTTCTCTTTTCAGCTTAATCTTTCTTCTAAAGAGTCTAATTTTGTAGTGCAAGTTTCAGTTCTTGTGGAACAGCTATCACTTCAGTGACATCATTGGGTAAAGAATGAATCATTTTGCATTTGCCTTTGAATTGAAGCAGTACACACGTTGCAAAGTGAGAATTTCCTGTTCTAAAGTCTGAGGATTCATTATGCTTTTTAGGAGTGAATTGCAACTTTCATAGGATTTAAATTGTTATAGAATCTTTACTTACTTCTTTTTTCTTTTGATTCTGCTTTCAAATTCAGCTCTTTCTCATATTCCTCTGCCTAATTCACTGATATGTGATCACATTATTTCTGTTCTGATTTTCCTAACAAGAGAGGGACAGTTATGAGTTTTGATTAATCATTTTGTACGTTTTCATTGACACATTCTATTCTAAGATCTGGACAACCCTACCTTTCCCTATCTTACATTTACTCTCTAAGCATCAAGATCACTGGTTTTCTGTGAAAATTCATGTGTCTTTCTAGCTTATCCAAGACACTTTTAAGTATCTATTTCCTTTTTTTTCTTTTTAATAATTCCAACCCCATTTGATAACTATAGTCTTTTTCCTCAGAGACTCCGCAATATAGGTGTTAATCAAAGGTATCCAAAGGATTCTATTATTTTATAGATGTGACATTTATAACCCCTGGTAGATACTAGTTCTTTCAGAGTACATATTTGAGCTCCAATTAGACTGTGGTATGTATAGTGCATGATATTTATTGCCTATTCTAAATACCCGTAATTCTAGGTAGTTGTTGCCTTCTAGGTTTGCTGGACTAACCTAGAGCAAATATTAATGCCTTCCCAGTTGTCTTATTCACTACTGGCTTGGCTTGACCAGTGGAACAGATTGTGGTACTTAAAATAAGCTGTTCAGTTTCTCCACTCAAAAGTTCATATGTTTTACAGATTGTTCATTGTTGAAATATCAACAGTTTATTTTTCAGGTCCTGAATCATTGATTAGTCATTGTAGAATATATTACTTTCATATATGCTTTAGAATTTGATAAAGGTTTTCTTGGAGGGTGGGAGGAGGAGTAGAGGAAGCTAGGAAATGTGATGTTTGTTCAGTCTTACTTTTTTGTCTCTTAACCCAGATAATTAGTTTATGGAGTATTTCTATAATTATGATTTGCTATTTTCCCAACTGATCCAAAAGTTTAACTTTTGAATCTGTGATCCTTATCACAGAATTTCTCCATTGTACCCTTCATCCAGTTCAAATTATTAGCCCTATGCATCATGCAACATATTCAATATAAGAAAATTCAATTAATGTTTCAAAATATTTCTTACCTTCTTTTCACTTTATAAAATCAGAGATCTCCCTTCCTTCTCTCTTTTGAGAGGGAAAATAGGGAAACAGAAGTCTGATTTTGACTACTGGATTTTCTCAAATCTAGCTTCATAGATTTTTTTAAAGAAGCTGAATGATTACAAATGTGTTCCCTTATAAATTTGACTGTAGTCTCAAATTTAAATACAATTAATTTGGTGTCATATTTGTACAGGTTGAGCATCCCTTATCTGAAATGGTTAGAACCGGAAGTGTTTTGGATTTCAAATTTTTTCTGAATAGGTTCTTGGAAACTAACTTTAAGCACCACAACATATGATGAAAACCATTTTATCATAAGCTCATTGAAATATATGAGAGTTAAGTTCCAGTGACATATTTTTGGTCATGAAAACATCATCAAACTTCTAAATAAAAACCAAAACACTTCTGATATTCAACATGGAAGTAAATGTCTGTATACAGACATTTAGAAAAGGTTACTAAAAATGGTATAATTATTTACCCTCTCATTCCAGCTAAGGGAAACAGGTGGCAGAGCCTATCTTGTCAGCTCAAGGAACAAGGTGGGATGCAGCCTTAGACAGAACACTGTTCCATTCAGGGTGCACTCATACACACACCCACACACACTCATACAGTGGCAATTTTAAAATGCCTGTTAATGCAACACGCACATTTTTGTGACATGGGAGGAAACCAGAGTACTTAGAGAAAACCCACACAGACATGAGAAGAGAGTGCACACTTTACCCAGAGAGTGGCCCCAATAAGGAATCATTTTCTTATCCTCATCAACATTATAGCAAAATAATATTGAAGGAAATGACATTAGTCAAAGACATGCTGTATTTGCATAGACACTGTGAGACCTTGGAGATGGAACACAATCTAAACACTAAATCATTTACTTTTCATATATGCATAACTTGAAGATAATATTATACAATATTTTGTATAATTTTCATATGAAACAAAGTTTTTATTTTATTTCCCTTTGTAACTATTTTTGTGTGGGAGAATCTGGATATGCATGGAAAAGGTGTATGGTAGCTGAAGAGTGCTGGGAGGATCAACTTTTCCCTTGAAAATGTTGAATAAGCTGTATGTTGTGTACCTGAGTTTTGATTGTGACCTGTTATGTGGGGTCAGGTATGGAATTGTCCACTTCTGATATGGAAGTGCTCAAGGGTTTCAGATTTTGGAGTTTCAGAGTTTGGATTTGGGGATTAGGGATGCTCAATCTGTACCTAATTAATTCTTAAGTACTTCCTTAACCAAAATTTATTTTTGACCAAGTGAAAAGCAGTTAGTTTATCAAAATTCAAAAGCACGCAAACATCCATTTAAACTCTGAAAAACTAGTAAGTAGTTGAATAACAGAACAAGAATTGTATATTTATGATTAAGGTAGTAAATTGAAAATCATTTTTGTAGTTATTTATAGGATTGTCATGGAAGGGATATAATCTACAGGATATTTGAAAAGTTCAGTAGATTTTGGTATCCCACCAGTGACCATAGATCAGCATATTTCCATTCATCCGTGCTTCTGACTAGATTGGAGGTGTAAGTTAGTGGGATATAATGAAGCAGAACTAACTGACTTATAACAGGTTTAAAACTTATGACCAGACTCCATACTTTAATGCATAAAGCTTATCATAGAGAAGTATAAAAGTATACACCTCTTCTTAGTTTTAGAAGTTAAGGCAGAATAATTATTAAAAGGAATGTGGTACATATACACAAGGGAGTATTTCACAGCCATAAAGAAGAACAAAATCATGGCCTTCGCAGAAACTTTGATGCAGCTGGAGACCATCATACTAAAAGTGAACTATCACAAACAAGGAACTGAACACCACATGTTCTCACTCATGAGCAGGCCCTGATCACAGGTCATATTAGCGCAAGGGTGGGATCAGCAGTTGCTGCCCACTGCTAGGAAAGGGAGGGAAGGAGGAGAGGGGGGGGCTCATGTCAACACAAAGGTGCCTGGTCTACTGCCAGGGGAAGTAAGGGTCACCTAGAAGCCCACACTTCACCTGCATGCAGCCTACTTACGTAGTATATCCTCACTGGTACCCCACAACTCTATAATAAATAAATTTAAAAAATAAAAAAAGAAGTCATCCAGCTAATTATAGAACAGAATAATGCCTTAAGTATTTTATAAGCTTAATTTTTAGAACACAAAGCTAGGATTTGTAATGTGTTGCTTTGTTTGGTTTTGTTTTTAAACTTAATTTTTCTTTGTGCAAAGGGTGGAGAGGGTACCTCAGGATATACTTTCTAAAGATTCTTCAAATATATTTTATAGTGCATTTAATATCTTAGAGTTCATTTAATTTCAAAGAACTGTCTTGATTTTGCTCAAATGCCCATTCATACATTCTTCAAAATTCAAAGGGACCCAAAAGTTTGGTTATATAGTCAAATGATTTCTTTGCATTGTGATTAGAAGTACATTTGGAAATATTTGAGGTATATAAATGACATCTTTTCATTTTTGCATGTATTATTTATATTTTGTAGGGCAAGAAAAATAAGGACCATGGAACTTTGCTTTCCTTTGCATCCAAATCCATATGCATCCATATTTAAAAAAAAATTATATCTATATGTAGCTAATATTTTTTTTCAAATTGCATTTGTGTTGTAGGCTAAAACCCTGATAGAGAGATTCTTTAGACAACAAGTAGAAGTTGTTGGCAGACATGCAGCGGCATTGCCTGAAATATACTATATTGAAGGTACTCTTCAAATGGTTTGGATTAATCGCTGCTTTCCAGGGTATGGAATGAATGTCTTGCAACATCCGAAATGTCCTGAGTGCTGTGGTATGTAATGAGATATTGTTTCATGTTTTTATATTGATGAAAATTCACTATTTTGATTAAGCCTCAGTGAATAGCTATCATTTATTTTTACTATTATTTAGGTACTTCTTTAGAATATATTTGAAGTAGTGTATCTGAAGAGACTATGTGAATCTAAAGATATAAGAGGAAAAAAAATCTGACTTAATTTTATTAATATTGCTATTAATATTTCAGCAGAGAGTTTAAGCATATTAGGCAGTTATCTGGGATGAAACACAAGTAGAATTTATCAGTCACTTAAAGTTACTCTAAAAGCAATCAAATGATTGATGAATTTGGGTTTGGACAGTCTAAAGTAGATATCTTTGTGACTTTTTTCTTTTTGACATAAGTATATGAATTATTTTATTTCCAGGTTTTTAAAAAATTTCATCCTAGCACTACATGATCTGAGATGTTCTCTGGCCCTGGTTCTTATTATAGAAGAGAGTCTATAGTGGCTCTTGGCTTGGGCTGAGTACATGGATTCAAAGCCTTTGTGTTTCTGTTATCAAGAGTTGAGTGGGCCAATCAATTTTCAGTCTTAAAAGACTTTTTAAACATTTATACCAATAAATTTTACTGAATTTATATTTGTCTTAGTCCATTTGTGTTGCCTTAAAGGAATATCTGAAATTGGGTACTTTATAAAGAAAAAAGGTTTAGTTGCCTCACAATTCTGATGTCTGTAAAAGTCAAGATTGCGCCTCCAGGGAAGGCCTCAGGTTGCTTTCATTCTTGGTGGAAGGAGAAGGAAGCTGAAGTGTGCGGAGGTCACATGGTGAGAGAAAGCAAGAGGGTGCAGGGAGGTGGGTGTCAGATTTTAAAAAACAAACAAAAAACAGCCCTCACCAGAATTAATCGTGTGTGAATTCACTCAGAGCGGGCATTAATCTATTCAGGAAGGATTTGTCTCCATGAACCAAGTCATAGAAACCATAGCAGTCTCATTCTTATTCATTCTTCTTTAATTATACCTTTCTTCTTTTTTCTGCAACTTAAGTTTGATTAAAAGCCTTTTCATATATAGAACGCTAAATGTTTTTTCCATTTTGCTTTGATTTGGTTAGATTTTGCTTTATAATTTTTTTCTTTTGTCTTTGTTTAAATATATGTAATTTGACAAAAGGTACTGAAAAGGTATCTTAAGACATATAATACAAATTTAACAAATAAAGCACTTCCAAATGCCAACTTTGTAACTATTTTGACAATCAGTGATTACATATATTACTCCAGAGCACAGATAAAGATGAAGGAAAGCCTTGAAATGTCCAAAAAAGAAACTGGAACCCAGTAGTTTAGCAGTCTATTTATATGCATGTATATTATTATTCAATCAAGACTTCAGATAAACTAAAATTGTTAAAATATTTACATCTCATTAATTATAAGAATTTTGAAATTGTTAAACATAGCTCTTTCAAGTGACATAGTGATAATGGATTTTTATCAGTCAGCCTTGTCTCTGAGAGTGTCAGCTCAATGGGTCAGCAAGCCAAGCCCCAAAGAGTGTCAGTTCTATAGGCTAGCAAGCCTAGCCTCAGGAGTGTTGGTTCTAATGGGCTGGCAAGCCAAACCCTGAGAGTGTTGCTAATTTGGTGAGCTGGCAAGCCAGCCTGCAGAAGTGTCTCAGCCTCAGAGTCTGACCTTTTGCTGGCAACTCTCCAGGTTCAGCCAGCTAAGACAGCTGGCAAGCCAGCCTCTGGGATGCATGGCTCTTGGCTTTGACGATCTTCTGTAGTTCTTCAGGTTTGGGTCCTTGCCTCATGTCCAGGAGGAATGAGGGACATGTACCCCCGGAGGGTGGAAAAGCAGGGTTTATTAAGAGGACAGAAAAGCTCCCAGACCAGGAGGGGACCGGAGGGGTTTACTGATTTGAAGCTGAAACAAATTTCATTTTGTGGCATCCTACTGTAATTAAATATTTTGTGCAGCTATCATCTCTGTAGGTTACTAAGCAAGATTGAATTCCTTTTTGTGAACAGAACTCATTAAATATAATGTAACATTCAGGCTTCTATTATATACAGTAATTTTTGTCTATGTTACAGAAATTCATCACTCTAAAAATTTCAATAGCACACACTACTCATTGTAATAAGATACTAGGATGCTTGACGTATTCTTTAGGACAATCACTAAAAGATAGTATAATAGGTACATAACAATTAGTAGATGGAAAAAATGTAAGTTATCAAGAAAAAAATAATTTATTCAAAAGAAGTCAAGTCTAAAAGAGACAAAAAAATAAACCACTGAAATGGTAAGTTTAAATTCAGTTATATCAGCAGTTACACTTAACATAAATGGACTACAATTAAAGAAAACTTGTAAGATTCTATTTTTTCAAAACACTGGTATTATGCCACTTACAAGAGACACATCTTTAAATACAAGAACACTGATAGTTGAAAGCAAAAGGTTAGAAAAAGATAGGTTAAACAAATGATAATAAAAAGCTTGGTATAGACATGCTGTTATAGCCAGATTGCAAGAAAGGAAATGCCAACATGTAGAGAAAGTTGAATTATGAGTCCTTTATTTAGCCAGCAACTGAGAGTGGACTAGTGTCCAAAGAACTCTCAGCCCCAAACAGAGTGAGTAGGGGGTATATAAAGGCAGAAGTTATATAAGCTGTGCAGTTTGATTATATTTCTTGGCAAAACATTCAATTGTGAAGGGGTACAGACAGCTACAGGATTTACGTAACTGGGGAGTTTCCAAGCACCGAGAGGAATAAGAATGTGGGTGTGCAGTGTGATTACAGGAAGGTTACATCAGGGGATTATTTCTAGGTTAACATGGAAGATCTGTTACAAAATGGAGTTACTTATGTCAAGCAAGTTATTACAGGCTATTATATGTATATTATAGGCTTTTTAGATGAATATTTCAATGCATATAATAGCAAAAGAAAAATAGTAAGCATAATAAAGCCAAGAAATATAATAACAAAAAGCAGATAAAACAGACTTTTAGCCAAGAAGTACTACTAGATACACAGAAGGAGGGAAATTACATAATGATGAAGGGTAAATTACAAGAGGATCTGGTAATAATTATAACTTTGAGAGTACTTAAAAAAATAGATTTAAAATATACAAAACAAAAATTGTCAGAGAGGACCAAGAAAATCACCTCCATATATATTATAGGCCTAAATGCATAAGGAAAAGCTAAATATTTTAGAAAATAACATAGAAAAAAGATTTCAGAATTAGAAAAAAGGTTTCTCAAAAAAAGACACAAAAATCACTAATCTTTTAAAAAAGATGTATAATTTTGACAATAAAGTAAGTACTTCTGTTTATCAAAAGATACTACAAAGAGAGAAAAGATAATACCACAGAATGAGAGAAATATCCATAATGGATTTAACCAAAAACAGACGAGTACCTAGAATAAAGAACATTTTTAAAAAATGAGCTAAATAATTGAACAAGTACTTCACAAAAGAGGAATTCCAAATGACCAATAAATATACGAAAATATAGATTTATGTTCAATCTTATTATAAGTAGTGAAATGTAAATTAAGAACATAACAAAATCCTACTACACAACTATTAGATTGGTGAAAATTAAAGTATTTTAAAATAACAGTTATTGCAAAGAATGCAAAGGTCCAGGATCAGGCACACTCCACCTAGTGAGTGCCAGTGAAGTCACATTGGAAAATATCTTGGCTTTAGTTTACACTCCCACCAACAGTGTAGAAGTGTTCCTTTTTCACCACACCCTCTCCAGCAGACCTTCCATATGACCCTGCAATCCCCCTACTGGGAATATACCCTGAAGAACACAAATCACTCTATAAAAAAGATACCTGCACACGTATGTTTATCGCAGCATTGTTCACAATAGCAAGAACCTGGAAACAACCATGCTGCCCACCAAAAGAGGACTGGATTAAAAAATGTGGTACATATACACAATGGAATACTACGCAGCCATAAAAAAGAACAAAATCATGAATTTCGCTACAACCTGGATGGAACTAGAGTCTATAATACTGAGTGACCTCTCACAAAAACAAAAATCTGAATATCACATGTTCTCACTCATATAATGGACCTTGAACATCCAATGCAATACTATAAGAAAATGGCTGATGGTACTGGGAAACTATGGGGGGGAGGGGGATGGGATTAACATATCTGTCGGGGGATGGGAAAACACTTCTTATCTACAGGGTGCCTGAATGAAACGTCATTGTACACCTAACCCTTAACTGTACCCCACAAAACCATAATAAAAATACTGATTAATGAAAAAAAAAAATATCTTGGCATTGTAGCAAGTGTAAAGATGCATATGCTCTCTGATCTGGCATTTAACTACTACGAAATTTTCATCACAGTATTTTTTTAATACTCCTAAACTAGAGACAACCCAAGTGTCCATAAGTACTAAAATGTATGAATAAATAGCAATACATTCATATAGTGGAATACTACATAGGAATTACTGTGAATAAAGTGGCAATTTTATAAATATAAATTGTGGAAAAGAGGCAAATCACAATACCAGAATTCATACATATTAGGTATATCTAAGCTCTGTTTTATAGGAATTTATTCATAATTGATAAACTACAATGTAATCCAAGAAAATGATTACCTAAAACTAGTAAGAATACTTTTCACTTTTGGAGAGAAGGAGGGATGTGACTTGATTGGGATCCAGAAGGGGTTTTGAGATGACGGTGGTTTTCTACATTGTGACCAAAATTGTTTTTAGGAAGTTTTTATATGTAAATATTTATTATTTTGTATATTTATGTCTTTTTTCTCTGTGTTACATTTTATAATAAGAAAGTTTCAAAAGTTAAATTTTTTCTTAGAGCTTGAACACTATTGTTAAAACACTAAAAGCATTCTAAAGAAAAATAAACATTCAACGAATATTTTTTCCAATAAATCAAGCTTTGTCATTTGTGTATAAGATTACCTGATCTTTGTCTTAATAAGTTTATAA